GACATGACAAGGGCAAGAGGGGGTCCTAGCCCAGCCCAGCCCTTCTCACAGCATGTTCTACTGAATGCAGTCTACCATCAGAGATGGACTTCAGACAGGTATCCAGGTCAGTGGAGAAGCAAGCTGTCCTCATTCGTAGTTAATCAGAAGGCCTTGACAAAAGGCAGGCACCCTGCTCTTGTGTCCAATCCTCTTCTACTATGACCCTAGGCAAGCCTTCCATTTCCCCACGTGCAAATAAGCTACTCATTTTCAAACTAGGTTCCAGCAAACTCCAAGGCCCAAGGTGGCATTTCTACCAGTCACCTTCCCTCTACAGGCAAATAATGTTGATGTTTATGGGGAAAAAAAAGAAAAGTAAATAAACGATTAATCAAATGTCACACCAATTGAATAAACTATACCATGAGGCAGTGCATACATGCAATCCCCGACTTTTAGAGACAGAAGCAGAAGGATGAGTTGAGAGCTAACCTCAGGTACATATCCAGATAAAGACCTGCCTGGGCCTTGTGAGATCCTGTCTCAAAAAAAAAAAAATAAAAATAATTGAACAAGAGACACCGTTTAGTCTGCTAGGTGGCACATGCCAAGAGTCCTGGGAGATCACAAGAACGGCCTGCAAGAGGTCCAACAGCTTTCAGGAGACCGTATTCGACCAGGATGGAAAAGCAATCTCGACCAGACTGCAGCGAGTCCCTACTACCTTGCCCACCGCCAGCTGTGCAGCCTGCCCTGCCCTGCCCTGCCACCTCTGGAAGGCTGACCACATACTCCCCCTGAGGCTATGGCTCTCCACTCTGTGCAGCCTGCCCTTTTCCAGAAGTCCTATTTGGGCCAGACACCTGTACCAATCTGTCTGGTACGAAGAGGAACGGTAGTTTCCGACTTGTTGTATGTCCTGAGGCATCATCAGGCCAATCATAAAAAGGAGCACATGGGCAAGGGAGAAGAGACATGAGCACAAAGAAAGGTTAGTTTTAAAGAGACAGGGAGGGACTAAGAAAGGACAAGAATTCTTATCAGGCTAGTTCTAAAAATCTAGTCAGCGTAAGAACCCTTAAACATGCTGGAACATTGAAAAAAAAGTCACCTGCTGCCTTCTCTTCCTCCACACCCTGCCCCAACTGGTGCAGGAACCCTTCCATAAAGTCAAGGCTACCACCCACATTTCTGTAGCACCCAACTCTACCATGAAAGCAAATGTCAATTCTGGGACCGGAGCCACCATCACCAGAGAAATCTGACAGCCCTGGAACATTAGTTCCCAGCTTAGAAGGAAAACCAGCTCTTTGCTCTGTCTGTCTCCTCTGTCTCTCTTATGTGAACTCCAGCTGTGAGCACGCAAACTTTTCAGGCTGCCAGTTTCAGGGAACTCCAGACACACACATTGTAGCGGTGCTACAACACAGTTGTTCCTGTTCTTAAATAGCTGCCACCTCCACACTAAGAACGAAAAACAAGACAACTGACACGGAGAACAAAAACTTTAAAATAAATCCTGGAGATTCTGACATGAGGCCAAAGAAGCACCACTAGAAACAAACCAAAGTAACACAGCATCAAAATCCCCATTCTCCTCGTCAGAGTTTAAAGTCCTGTAGGTCAGTGACAGAACAAGCCTAGCAACGTTCTTAACGCCCACTTCCAACTACAGTACAGAACTGAGAAGAAAATGAAACAAGACCCAAAGCCAGAAAACCTGCAGTCCTAAAAAGCTGGGAGAGGCACACAGATCTACTGTGCATGCCCTCCATGTTCTCGTACACAAATGCCCTCACACTGGATGAGTCAATGGTCTAATTCTGTAGATGACAGTGAAGGGTTTTTTTTCTTTCAAATGTGTTCACATAGAACGATTTCTAAGCAGGTGCTGAAATAAAGTCTGATCATAGCTCAGCTAAGAAAGTCTTTCCAGTAAATGTGCCTCCACAGCTGGATAGCTGTCTTAATATGAAATTGCCCTAGGCCACAGGGAGGAAAAAAAAAAAAAAAAAGAGGCTTTTGATTTAGATTTACTTGAGAAATAAATAAACCAACAACACACCAAAGGCCCTCCCTCACAAGTTAAAGAAGAATACAGTCAGATGGCTCTTTGTCAAAAGCTACCTCTACTTCTGAATGAATTTCCTGAACCCCACCACAAAATCATTGTGAAGCTTGAGGAACACAGGGTTAGAAGTAGGAAAGGCACAGTTCACAAACAACGACCCCAAATTGGCCAGTTCTTGGCAGCCCTCTCCAACTCGTGATGAGAACTCACCCACTGGTCCCTGCACACCCAGGAGCCCAGTAACCCAGCATGGATGTGCCCAGAGGCACTAGGCTCCTGTGACTGGGAGTGCCAGCAATACCAGAGGGCAGAAATCTGGGTGACACTTGGCACTCTCTCTTTCAACAACCACAAAGTAGTTTCCAAATCCAGGCCCTCACCATTTTGAAGACCAGGAAGTTGGAGTGTTCCGGGAGGCAGAGGTGAAAAAGAAAGAAGCCCACTGGGTCTAGCCCCACCCCCAAGGTCACAGTATTGACCAGAGGCCAGGAGAGAAGGCAAGACTGTTTCTGAAGGCCAGAGCAGTAAACACCTAGTGTGGCCACAACCCTGGGACCTGCAGAACTGGCATTTCCCCGGCCTGGAGTAAAACAAGAAGATGACTTTTTAGCTAAAAACAAAACAAAACAAAACAACAACAACAACAAAGACAAGACAAAAAAAGCATACTTCTGAATGTTGCCCGCGCGCGCGTGCGCATGTACTGGTGTGGAGGTAGAACACTGTAGGGTAGAACAGTCTACAACTGCTCAGAGAGGCAAGGAGGGAAGTGAAAAGAAAAGAGTCATGAGCAGCTGCAGTCCCCTTTCCCAAGGACACAAAGCCATGAGACCCAGACAGGGAGCAAACAGAACACAGAGGAAATAGAGCAATGAGTAAATCCTACCCACCATCACTAACCTTGGTACACATCAGAGAAATGGGAGACACTCCCAGAAGGAGCTGCAGCTGCTCATCCCTGCCTCTGTAGCAAAGTCAGGAGGACTTTGAGGATACAATTCACAACATGCAGGGCTCCTGAGAATCTGCAGCCTGGATCAGTGCCTAAAGAGCCTCAGCCCAAGGTACCCTGGCAGATGCTGAGAGATACATAAGACAGACCTAAAAGGCATGTCCTCAGTGGAGAATCTGTTGGCAGTGCGTGGGGAGCCCTGAAAAGCAGGTATGGAGTGAGTTAAGTATTAGAAAGGGAACCTGACAAGATGTGAGGAAAAAGGCAGAAAGCTATGAGGGAGGAAGGCGGAAAGGACCTGGGAGAAGGGTATCAATAGAAAGCGAGCATCTAGCCAAGAAATCTGGAAGCTCCAAGAAAGGGGAGACAGGAATGAGAAGAAAGAAATGGTAGCGTCAGGTTAAAACTAAGGAAAAGGCTTAAAAGAAAGTAAGGGGCAAAGCAAAATAGGGACAGCGAATGAAGAAAAAGTCGATTGAAAGGCTGAGGGGGGTGGGTGGGAGGAGAGCTTAGAAGTCACAGGGACCAAAGGTAGGACACAAGCAGATCACTCTGACAAGGACAGCAATAATTAAGTTAAAAAACAAATCAAAAATATGCAGAAAAAACGGACAGCTCCAAATGGGACCTGTGGTGAGGGGGCAGCAAATGAAGATAATGAAGGAAAAAGCCATTAAAAAAAAAAAAAAAAAAAGGTAAGCCTAGAAAATGCAGAATGGCAAGAGCGTGGAAGGAAGGTCACTGTCAGAGCCACCTGAGGTGCAGAAGCACACCAGTAGCAGAGGAGACACAGGCAGCAAGTCCTAGGTGTAGAGTAACTTACTGGAGACGGCTGGGGTGGGGGGGCTGTCGGCAAATGAATGGAGCAGAGCAGAGGAGCATTGAAATAAAGGTGGGAAGGAGGAAACTCAGAACAGAGACAGACACAGAGCACAACTAAGTGGAGTTGCGGCCAGGGCAGAGGCATGCTTACAGGGAATGCCAGATATGAGACACTCTGAGGGGCAGAAAAGGGGGTGAAAGAAGCGGCAAAAAGCCAGGCACTGCAGGGGTGCATGCAAGACCAGAGCTCAGGCAAGGGGCAGAGTTGGCAGGCAGAAGGGTCTGGAAAAGAGGACAGGGTCTGAATGGCAAAAGGGAGCAAGCACTGAGAAGGGAAAGAAGCAGGCAAGGAGCATCTAAATCTGAGAACGGCTGAAGAACCCTAGGGCATCAAGGAGGTGTAGCAGGTTCAGTGTTTCCGCCGGGGCAGAAATTGGGGGCAACTGGGCCCAGGCGGGAGAAGGAATCATGTCTAAAGCAAAAATTGGGAGGGCAGCAGGGCCTATATCAACAGAGGTCTAGTATGGAGGTCCAAGGAGGTGGAACGGCAGGTCCTAAAGGGACAGCTCCTAAGGACGCAGGCTGCTCTAAGGCAGGATTAACAACAGCAGATAGGCCAGAGAAGGAGGTGGAGACCTCCCCGGCCAAAGTGATGCTCTCAGAAAACAGGTAAGGTAAGAAAGGGCCACGGATGTCCGAAGTGGGCGCCAGAAGGGATGCGGCGGCCGTCCCGGGAGCAGAGCCCACTCCAGAAGGCGGCGAGGGTACGACTGGGGGAGGGGGGAGGAAGTGGAAAAGGAGGCGGCTCGGAATTAGGAGTCGGGTATCTCGAGTGGAAGCTGAGAGACACCGAGACCCCCCCACCCGCGCGCTGGGTCGTGATGGGGTGTGTGTGGAGGCAGACGCCGGGATTGCGGGGCTGCGGGGACAGTGGCGAATGGGAAGAGCACGGCGGGCCGCGCGGGCCGGGCCCGGGCATGCAGCGGCTGGAACCCGGGGGCCGCGGGGCGCTGGGGGGGCGCCGCCTCCCCTCCCCCTCCGGCTCCTCCATTGTTCGCGGGCTCCGGGCCCCGCGGTCCCCGCCTTTCCCCCCACCCTTGGATCCCGCAGCGGGGCGGCGCCCGGCGCCTCGCCCGTCCCCACATTCTCCTCCGCCAGCTCCGCGGCACTCACCAGCCTCGGGGGCGCCCTCAGCGCGGCCCCGGCCTCCGCGATCGCGGCCGCGGCGGCGGCGGGCCCGGCGCCATGTTCCCCGGCGACTCGCTCTTGCGGCGGCTGAGGCGGCGGCGGCGGCGGCGGCGGGGGGCCGGGCGGACCCTCCCTCGCGGGCTCCCTCCTCCGCCTCCTCCGCCTCCTCCTCCCGCCGCGCCGCGGCTCTCCCTCGGGGCGGGGGGCGGGGCGGGGCGGGAACTAGGGGGAGGGCGGACCAGCCTCGCTCGCTCGCTCGCTCGCTCCCTCCCGCGCAATGGCGGCGGCAGCGCCTCCTCAGTGCGGCCGCCGCGGCCGTGCGCGCGCCGGAGACCCTCTCGCCAGTGCGCGTGCGTTTCTGCGGGGGCCGAGGCGCCGGGGCGGGGGTCGGGGCGGCGGGTGGCGGCCCGGCGGGCACGGGCGCGCCGCGACGACGGTAGCCCG